AGGGTTTAAGCAAGGAAGTCTTAAACCTGGAGGGTTTGAGCAAGGAAAGTCTTAGGATCTGATGATCTAAGTAAAGAAGTCTTGATCAGGTGCTAATTGAGCAAGGAAGTCTTAGGTTGTAAGTCTGAGAAGGGAAAATCTTATACTTGAAAATATAAACAATTGTAATCATGAATTGATTATAGTGGAAAATCTATTGTTGTACAATGGCGCTGAACTACTCTTAGTTTAGGAGGAACTAAGATAAATCGGTTGTGTTGATAGTTGTTCTTTTATTTACTTCTGTTATGATATCGGTTGCATCTGTTATCAGGTTCTGAACTAAGTGTTTAGAATTTGAACTCTGATCACAAGTAGAAAAGATTTTGGAGAACACAATTCAACTCCCCCTTCTTGTGCATATCAGTAACTTTGTTGATGAATTTAATACATAGTGCTTTCTCTACCTATCCTCATCTCCTTTAAGACACAGTAATGCATGATCTGATATACCAGGTTCCTACATATGCCCCATTTTCTAAATATTTTGTTGTATTCACTCCATATTAGCAATGAGTTTGTCAATTCGAGAGTAAATAGCTTCATCAGTATGCTTGTTGAACCAAGTATACCTATCCCCTTTTCTCTCCACTTCAAATAGTCAAACATCATCTATCATTCTACTCAGGTCAACATATTCAATTGGCTTGTACTTTTGATGTCCCTCACCTCAACTTTGTTGTCATTCCACATAACCCATATTCTACCATTGTGATGCTCTTTATAGTTGTCAATAACTGACCATTTATTCCCCAATCTTTTTCTATTTTTCTCTGCATTATTCTACTTTACTCTAGTTTCTACTATTATTTCTATCTTAGGGTTTAGCCTAGAGAGACGGGAGCTTATCTCTCTATTCTTGGCTACCTTATTCATCCCCCTAATATTCCAAAATACTATCATTTACCCTCTAGATGAGTTACTTAGAGTCATCCCAAACTTCTAAAGTTTCAAACCCATTTTGACAGAAAAAGTGTTTCTTCTTATTGTCATTCATTACTTTCTTTCCTGTGTCTCTTGTTCTCTTGTTGACTTCTGTCTAATTGCCAACATTAGTTGGCGTTGCCATTGTATCCTCATGACTTGGTAGCTTTGCTGTCTTCTTTGCTTCTTTCTCTTGTACATGTCTGATCCTGCTTAGACCTTCACTGTGATCTTCTTGTGTTGATTTGGATTGTCATTTCTTGACTGATGTTTTTTCTCCTTATTACAGACATGCCCATCCTTTTGACACCTCTCACAATACTGCGATCTCCATTCATATTCAACCTTTTATTGCCTCTTCTTGCCTTCATGAACCTTGACCGTTATCTCCTCGTATAATTTTTGTGTCACATCTATCTCTACCAGAATTCGAGCATATGTGGCTCTCAATTTCCCCGCAGTGCATTCATCTCTAAACATAGAGTTTCCAATTGCACTGCCAATTTCCCCAAACTTTTTTCTCCCTATAGATGCAGGGGAAATTGAGGAAGCTTGACCCAAATCGGCAATATTCACAACATGTCTCTCTCCATAGAAAAATCCTGTCTCCACCCTATGATTATCATTGGAATATTGTGAATCATATACAGCCCCTTCAACATGACTTCATCTCTTTCCTTTTCCGTTTTGAACTTCACGATGAAATAACCTTTATCACTGTAGAACATTTTCGACATCGTGACGAATTTTCATGTCTTTATCATGTAGTTTTTCATTGCATTCATACTCAGATTTGCTCCTAGAACATATATGATCAGCGAAGTTCTCTAGAAATAGACCTCATCTTCAACATCCTCCTCTTCAATTTCAACTTCAACTTGTCCATCAACGATTTTTGGCACAACGAACTAAATTTGCATTCCATTTGTAGCGATTCTGTTTCCACAGATGATGTACCCACAGCTTCTCTCAATTCTCATTTCTCCTCATCGTCTTCTCCGATTCCGTTGAAATTTCATTTTGTGTGACTTCATCAAACCCTAATTTCTTTCCTCCCTCCTTTTCTTTTTCTTCCTCCACTGCTTTCCTGGCTTCCACATTCTCAGATGTTCCTTTCTTCGTCTTCAGTCTTCCCCTCCCCCGTGATGCTTTTTACCATGGCGTTTTCATCATGCTCAAGTTTCATTTATATTTATTACACTTTTAGTACATGCTTATTCAACCATTTGTTTTTAATTTAAAGGTTAATATTTATTCTTGTCATTCTCGTATAAAAATTACATTTTCATTATATATATATATATATATATATATATATATATATATATATATATATATATATATATATATATATATATATATATATATATATATATATATATATATATATATATATATATATATATATATATATATATATATATATATATATATATATATATATATATATATATATATATATATATATATATATATATATATATATATATATATATATATATATTTGAAGTTAAATGTGGTAATTTAAGTAAATTTTGATATTTTATATTCATTGAATATTTGATATTTGATGTATCTAGATTAAATATAAAAAAAATACATTAATTATTTAATAAATTTAAATTGTTAAAAAATAATAAAGAAGGAAGGGAATAAAATTTATGTAAATTACCTTTTTAAGATATATATTTTTACTCATTCATCAATTTATCCTCAATCAATAAATGCAAGAGAAGACCAAGTGACTTAAGGAGTTATTTGTTTTAAAATGACGTTGAATACAAAAAATATATGAAAATTGATGTATCTAGATTAAATATAGATGAAATACATCAGCAATCTAAAAGATTAAAACTTGCTTATAATAAAGAATGATGTGTTTTGATTATCAGATTATTCAATTTTTTTGTCCATGAGTTGTTTTATGTTACTAGTAAGAATTTAAAATTATTATTTTAATTGATAAAGTTTAATTTTTTTGGGAAGATAGTTGTAAATGGTAATATATATTATTTTACTTTTAATTACTAATCTTTTTTTCAAATAAATAAATAAATACATTTCAGAATATTTAAAAAATATTAATTTTTATAATAATTCAAACAGTTTTAATCTCTATATTCTAATATTAAAAAATATTTGACAATTCGTTGTGCTATAAATTAAGCCTTGCATGTATTATGCATCTAGCAATGGCATATCAAAACTCAATCACCTTAAAAATTTCTGTATTGCTAATAGTTGCAGTCGTAGTCGATGCGACCGATTTCTCTTTGTTTTATAAGACAACCGTTATAATCAGGAATGAAATCGCTCCACATCCAACTCCTTTAAATCTCACTGTTCATTGTAAATCAAAAGATGATGATCTTGGATTTCACACACTCGTATTTGGAGAAACTTACTCGTTTCGATTTAGACCATTAATATTTCCAAAAATTGTTAAAACTTTATTCTTCTGTGGCTTTACATGGATTGGAAGTCCCTATCGTCACTATCTTGACATTTACAATCAAGCCATAGATCATTGCAGAACTTGTAGTTGGAAAATAAATAAAAGTGGTGGTTGTAAGGATGTTAAAGGAAACGAGGTTTGTCAAGAATGGAAAAGCATTCGACTAATGGATGCAAATAATACTTCTATGATGTAATTTATTGTGTTTTTTATCATTGAAATAATACAAGTATGATCTTTTTATCTATCTATATCCATGAATTTTATTATCATTTTTTCATTAGACCACCTCTTTGAATTTATATACCAAAATAACCACCCTTTTAAATAAATTATCAAAGTAATCACTTTTTAAAAAAAAAATTAGAGTAGTCAATCAAAATGACGTATGCACTATAAAATTGTACATAAGCGTCAATTGAAATGACGCATGTTTATAGTGACAGCAAAAAACATAGGTAAAAGTCTACTTACGGTAGATATATCCTGAAAAACTTATACCTACAATAATTTACTATAGGTATAACAAATTATATGTCACAAAAACAAACTTTTACCCAAGGGAACAGTGCTATAGGTATAAAATTTTCAAAATAAATAGATTTTTATCTATGTTTTTTGCTGTCACTATAAGAACGCACAATCTCAATTGATGTTTATGTACAATTTAATAGTGCATGTGTCAATTTGAATGACTACTCTAATTTTTTTTTGTTTGAAAAGTGATTATTTTAGTAATTTATTTGAAAAGGTGATTATTTTGGTTGTACATGTTTATAGTTCATGTATATAGTTCATGTAATCAACCAAATCACATTTATTTATGATTTGATTCACTTTTTATTAATAATTTCAATAAAAACACTGTTAATAGTTAAAATAATTTTTCAATTTAAAACTAGTTTAAAATCAGTTTGTATTCATAAACTAATTTACAATCAGTTTACAATTATAAATCAATTTTGTATTTTGAACTTTTTAAAATAAATTTTTTTAATTTAATAATTCTTTTAAAAATTTTAAAGGATTTACTTTTCAGAAAAAAATTATATTTTATATCCATTTTTTTATTTTCAAAAAAATTTATATTTTTTACTTTTTAGAATAAAAAATAATTTTTGTTTCATAAAATTTTATATTTCTTTGATATTTTCTCAAAAGAATTAAAATTTAGCTTTTTCTAGAAATTTATTTTCAGAATAAAATTTATTTTTTTCTAGAATTTTTATTTTTAGAATAAAAAATACATTTTATTTTTACGAATTTTTTTTATTATCAATTTTTATATTTTAGTAATAAAAATTATCTTTTATTTTCAAAATTAAAAAAAATATATTATTTTGTTTTATTTTTTGGAATAGTTTTTTTTCAGAAAAAATATATTTTTTTCAAAAACAAGAATATTTTTTATTTTCCAGAAGTAAAATTACTATTTTTTTATTTTCAGAAAAAAAAAATGTTTTTTTTTATTTTTGAAAGAATGATTTTTTTAATGAGAATGATATTTTTATGTGAAAACACAAATGTGAACAATTAAATTTATATAAATGAATGAGATTAAAATATCATGTAAGTAGTGCCAATGTCACGGGGGAGGGGAAAGCTGAAGAAACAGACATCTCGACCACCGAAACAGAGCAATTCAAGCGGGAAGGCCACGAGTGTGGTTGAAGAAGAATTGGAGAATGTAGAGGCTCTGGAACCAGTAGCAACAGAAGGCGAGAAAGTGAAAGAGAAAGACGTACTAGGGGATGCAGAGAACCCTAAAAAAGAGGATGGGGAGAATCTTAATGAGAGTAAGGAAACGTTGTGGGTGGATGTGATTCGAGGAAATCAAAATACTATGAATGGAATGGACATCCAATACGTTGCACCCAAGATCATTGATGGACAAGTGGAAGTGGAAATTGCAGAAGAAGATGTTGAATCGGAGGTGTGGTTCTATGAAACATCGCTGATAATGTATGTTATTGGAACCAATTTGAGTACGCACGCTATTAAGAACTACATGACAAGGACATGGAATTTTGCGACGCTGCCGAAAATGTACTATAACGATGAATGTTACTTCATTCTGAAATTCAAATCTGAAAGGATAGGGATAAGGTGATGATGAATGGGCCATATACAATTCATACTATGCCGATGGTAATCATGGAATGGAGGCAGGATTTTTCAATGGAAAGAGATATGCTAAAAACTATTCCAGTTTGGATTAAGCTCGCTCAACTTCCCTTACATCTATGGGGGGCAAATAGTTTGGGGAAGATTGGAAGCGAGATAGGTAATCCTATGTTCACAGATGAATGCACGGCAGGGAAGCTGAGGGTCTCCTATGCTTCGGATTTTGGTGAAGGTCGAGGTTACGCAAAAGCTTTGTGAGGAAATCACAATAAGGGACCATGAAGGTAACAAAAGGAAGAAAAAAGTGAAATACGAATGGAGACCTAAATTTTGTGAAAGATGCCAAAAGGTAGGACATATGTGTAGCAATGGGACGAAGATACCAGTCAAAGAAATGGAAACCCAAACATACACAGGATGAGCCTTCAGTAAGTCATATAACAAGAAGCTTCAAGGAGAAAAGTGGGACATGGTAAAATTACCAGACATACCTACTGTTGATGCAGATATGGCAATCCAAAGGATGATAGAAAGTGGACGGAAGTTAATAGAAAGAGAAGAGACACAGGAAAGAAGGTATTGGCTGAAACTTCTATTAATAATCTTTTCTGTTCAAACAATTTTGGAGCTTTTGGTGTTTGGGAAGAACCTAAAGTGACTCCTGAAGGAGCCCTATGATCATATCATGGAATGTTATGGGGAGAAATAAGAAAGCCATAAGTAGAGATATTAGCTCCAGTCTCTCTAGGCTTAACCCTGAGATTGCCATCTTGGTGGAAACTAGGGTGAAGGATAAAAATGTATGGAAAATTAGGAATATTCTTGGCAATAAATGAAATGTCTTTGATAATTACCATGAGCATGAGAATAGAAGGGTGTGGATACTTTGGGATAGAAGTAGAGTGGACGTTAGGAAACTGATTAGCACTTCACAGTTTATTTATTGCGGTATCTATGGTTTGGATGGTATGTTCGATAACTAGATAGCGACTCTTTATACTTCTAACCATTTGGAAAATAGGAAAAAGTTGTGGAAAGATATTGAAGAGATTGGTGTAAATCAACAAGGGCCTTGGATGGTGATAGGAGATTTCAATAATGTCCTACACATCCAAGACAAAATGAAGGTAAGAGTGTGAAAGAATGGGAATATATGGATTTAAGTTGTATGATGGAGAATGTTGATCTGCTTGAAATTGAAAATAAAGGTGATAAGTATACATAGGGGTGGAAAAATGGATGGATATGGATTGGATTGTTAATGGATGGATCAAAGCAATCCATTAATCCATTAACAATTGACTAAACTCTCTTAATAAAAATTCAATCCAATCCATCCATTAAAAGATAAAATCCATCCATTAACATATTTCAAATGGATGGATATCCATCCATCCAAAAAATTAATTTAAAAATTCTTAATTTAATAAGTGACAACATAATATCCAATGGATTTATAAAATGAGATGGATGGATTGAATCCATCCATATGAGTTAGTGGATGGATTGGATCAAATCCATTAAATTATTTTTTGTATTATGGATGGATTGGATGAATAAATTATTGGATGGATTGGATGGATATTATCTAAATGGATTTCATTGCCACCTCTAAGTATACATGGTTCAATAAACATGCTAATTGTGCCATATACTCTATATTGATAGAGTGATTGCAAATGTTGATTGGATTCAGCAAAACATTAAGAAGACCTTGTATATGATGGAACCAGGTATATCAGATCATGGCCTGTTGTGTATTAAAGGTGACGAGGAACTAAAAAGACAACGTTATGGGTTCAAATTTATCAACAAGGTAATTGATATGGAAGGGTATAATATAGAAGTTACTAATAGCTGGAACAAGGCAATCGTCGGCAATCCTGACAATGTTATGTGGAGGAAACTGATGAGGCTACAACATTTGATTAGTAAGATGAGTAAACCTTTGATTGGAATCCAATGCCAAATTAAGGAGGCTAGATGTAATTTGCAGGAGGCTCAAGAAAGGTTACAAACTAAAAGAATGAATAATCAAGTCATTATGCAGGAAAAACTATGGAATGAAAACCTCATAGAGCTCATTGAAATTGATGAGCAGGTTATGAGTCAAAGGGCTACCTCATAGAGCTCATTAAAATTGATGAGCAGGTTATGAGTCAAAGGGCTAAAGTTGACTGGATCAGATTAGGGGATGGCAATAATGCCTACTTCCATGCAACTTTAAGAAGTAAGCAAAAAATTATGAGGATTATACAACTTTATAAAGAGGATAATGGTGTGGCTACGAATCATGATGATATTGCTATGGAAATTCTGAAATTTTTATGGAAATCTTATAAGGACTAAACAAGAAAATATGGATGGGGTGGACATAAAGGCCTTAAGGAATGGAACCCAAGTCACTATGGAGCATAGGGTTATGCTTGTGAAACCTATAACGATTATTGAGATTGAAAAAGCTCTTAAAAGCATTGGTGATTTGAAAGCCCCCGGGATTGATGGGTTTGGAGTAAAAAAATTTAAAGCCTCATGGAACTTGGTGAAGGATGATGTGATAAAAGTGGTGATGGATTTATTTGAAAAGGGTGTGAAGGAGAAGAAATTCAACAGTACTTTGGTGACTTTAATACCTAAGCATGAGCATGCCAAGTCTATTAAAGAATACAAGACGATCTCTTGTTGTACTACTATGTACAAAATCATATAAAAAATTATGTCCAATAGGTTGAGTAATGTTCTTTCTTGCATTATAAGTAGAAGCCATGCCGCGTTTGCGCTAGGCCAAAACATACATGATCACGTGCTGCTAGCCTTTGAACTTATTAAAGGCTATAGTAGGAAGGGAGGTGTGCCTAGATGTATGGTCCAGATGAGCATACATAAGGCGTATGACACCGTGGATTGACAAGCACTGCAAACTATTGTGACTGAGATTGGTTTTCCCCACATGTTCATTGGTTGGATAATGGCTGCAGTTACTATTTTAAGTTGTCAGTTCAACATTAATGGTATTTACGCAGATGTGGTGCAGGCTCAAAGATGTTTTAGAAAGATTAAATTTGATTTAGAAATATCAGATTTGATTTAGAAAGATTAGATTAGATATTTTTGAGCTTTTATAGTTTGGACTTTGACTTGGGGTGCAAGCTAACCTAAATCTATAAATAGGGAGAAACCTTTATTTTATAAACATCTCACCATATTTTGTAATTCACAGTTTGCAATTGCAAGTGAAATAACAGAATTTCCACAGTTTGTGGTTAGAGAGTTCTCTGCAAAAAATTGTTTATTTTTTTCTTCTTCAATGTTTACTTTTTTCTTTCTTTCTAAACTTTTCTTTCATTGTCATTACGTAAGTTGAAACAATCTTAATATCAAAATTGATTGAGTGAAATTCTCCATAAGTTGTGGTTGAATTTTCAACCATTAAATAGTTCAACTTATTATCTATTTAAGTGGTTACTTTTTTATGGTGCAATGTATTTTAGATTAGTAATATAGTTTGAGGCTATGAATCTTCTTTCTTATCTTTTTTTCATGGTTATTTTATTTATATAGAATTATGACTTTTATAATTTACAAATTTCTATATGGTGATTTATAATTTGTTCTTTGAGATACAATATTAAGCTTTTCCCTGAGTTAACACTCCAAGATTAGGGATGACAATTCCAATATTAATTGCTTTTCCTCTGCTATGGATACATAAGTATCCATATTCATATTCATTATTTGCATTTCTAGTAAACTAAATTGATTTTTAATATAAAATATTAAATCATTTTAAATTTAAAATAATATGATAGAATAAATAAATTTATTATTGAATTATGAAATAAACAAATATTTATATTAAAATTTGTAATAGTTTAATAGAGACATTTTTATATAAAAAAATTGATGGATGTGCAAATATAAGAGTTGAGTACCTTGTATTAAGATATATGAACCCACATTTATATTTATTTATATTAGGGGGTAATTATCTGTGCATATTGTTGCACCTATTATGGCTTTTATCCCATTTTATTTTTTAGTCAGATCTTTTTTAATAATAAAATTTTAAAAAATAGTTAGAATAAGAAATATTTGCTAGACTTTATAATCTCGAGGTATAGAGTTTGAATCTTTATAACATGTAAAAATTGTAAGATAGATATTAATGTCATTTTAGTTAATAACAAAATATATGGAAATATTAATGAAATAAGTCTAAAAATAGAGTCAAATATAAGTCTAAAAATATTGAATCAAATGGTCATATTTAATGAAATAACAAAATACATGATCATTTAAAAAAAAAAAAAATTAATATGATCGTTTGATTTATTCATATTAACAATTGAGATTTAGTGTAAGATTTTAAAACTTACACCTGATGTCAATGAATTCTGAATCACCAAACTGGATGAAAACAATTATCCTGATGTCAATAAATTCTGAATCACCAAACTGACTGAAAACAATTATCCATAAAAGATAGAAGATTCTGCAATATACCAACAAAGAAGCCTAGCATCAACATTTATAAACCTATACTTAAGATATGATGGATAAAGTGGAACGCTTAACTATCAATGAAGGAAAGGGCAGTGACAAAAATAATGGCATTCCCAACATGGTTCAGACAAATAAAAGAAGGATCCTAGAATTGGAACAAATCAATGAAGATAAAAAAAAAACACAAAAACATGTAAATGGCAAGCCTAATGGACAAGGTTGCCAAAGAAGGATTAAGGTGATAGTGTAATATTTCAAATTCGATTAATTTATTTAAATTTTTTATTTAAATTGAGAAAATTGGTAAAAAAAAAAAAAAGAAATTTGGCCAATTGTATGATTTGAAAAAAGTATGAGGTGGGAGAAGAGAAGTTGAAAAATTGGTAGGCAATAATAACAATTAGATAAAAATAATTAGAATATTATATCTTCTAAAAGTTGAGAGAAAATTAGGTTTTAGGGAACTTTTTTACCGTACGTGAAAACATAATCATTTGAAAGGAGAGATAAGTTTTGAAGGAAAAATTTATAGGAGTTGTTTGGTTTGCTATTGTTGTTGAAAAATATAAGGTAGGGGGAGGTGGGCTTTCAATATGGGTGTTTTTCATGATGGAGTAGAGAATATAGGTCCTTACTCTCATTAGGGTTTCATAATTTTGCCTTGATAAATTGTTGTTGTGTTAGAAATTCGGAATTTGTTGATTTATTGTGTGTATACATGTGATTATGTAACTGAAATCATGTTTGTATTATCATAATTATGCATGTATAAAATTCTTCCATTGATGAATGTTTGAGTGCTTGAGTTGTATTCATAACTGTTGATGAAATTGTTGAGGAGTTTCTATGAATCATGATGAATATAAGTGTTGTAATATGTTGATGATTGTGATAGCATGATTCACTGTTAAATTCGTATTTTGGATCACTTGATTTTGGGGAAAATTAGTTGGAGTCATGTATGGAGGTTTTGGGATGAAAGAGATGAAAAAATGTGTTGAAAACAATTTTTTTTGGAAAAAAGATGCAGCGACAATCGAATGCCTCAATATGACAATCGATTGCACTAGTTTAAATTTTGAAAGAAAAAAAATGGACAATTGACTACAGGAAAAAAGAATTGATTGCACTACCTGTGTCTTTTTGAAAGTCAGTAGCAAAATCCTCTTGGTGACAATCGATTGTCACCCTATGACAATCAATTGTCATAGGCCAAATTGTTAAAAATTATGTTTTGTCTTTGTTGCATTGTCCGACAATTTTGACCGTAACTTTCTTTCAGTAGGTCCAAATGAGACGTCTTTTAAAGCGTTGGAAAGCTAACATGCAGAGCTACCTCATGGTAGTGATTGATGAAATAATTGAGTTGTGGTTTTGTGTCTACTACAGGGGTGTATGTGATGACTTGTATGATCAATTAGCGAATCCTTGTGTTTACCTAATGATGTGTTGATGTTATAACAAATTAACATGATTGAATGCTTGTGAATATGCATTTGATGAGTTGCTGCTATTTGGTGTTGTTTGTTTATTGTTGTAACATTGATTAATTTTTGCGAATGAGGAATGATGTTGTACATAACGATGATAAATGCATGGTAATTATTTTGGTGATAATGCATGTTGTTGAGAGTCATGCATTATGGTGTACGGACTTTGGTCCAATTTTTGCGTGCTATGGTCCTATGGTGGGGATTTAGGAGCGAGTAACTGGTTCTAGATGTGAATCGGTAAAGCATTACCTATGGTGATAGTATCAATTTAGTGTGCTACGGTCCTATGGTGGGGATTCAGGAGCGAGATGAACCTGAGTTATCCATGAATTGTACCGCATGCATAAGTGTCATATTGTGTCGTGAGTTGCATTCCTATAAATTTATGTGCATGTTGTTATGAATGAGTATGAGACTATGTTTTTATTGATTGTATAATGAATGTGTGCTTGTTGTATATTCTCTACCTTAGCATTCTTTACACTGTTTATATTGAATGTTGTTTCTCACCCCCTTTTGATTCATGTTGTCCACCATGGACATCTTGCAAATACTCAAGAGTGATCCTTGTTGTTGTGTGTTGAAAGGTGGCTTATTGGAGCTACTCTTCGCTTTTATTTTATCACTTTATAGTACATTAGTGGTTTACTGCTCTGATCGTGTAACATCTAGGATGAGAGTTATTATAATTTCAAAGTTGATGTTGCCTTTGATATTTTGGTGTTTATAACTTATTTATAAAGTTGTGTCGAAAATGTTTTTCTGCTGCGTAGATTCAAATGATCTGATGTGTTTTTGAAGGATTGTTGTTGGTGACACCTTAAATTATCGTGTAATGCTTTATTTATAAGTTTTGGGGTTTATGGTGTTACATAGTGGTACCAGAGCGGGTCGATTTTTCTGGCTAGGTTTTGTAATGATGTCTAGTCCCTAGTGTAACACCCTTCTAAATCCACAAATATTTTGTAAATAAATTAATAAATAATTCAACAAAATGTATCAACAAGGGTGTCACGTCGTCATAAAAACATCTTAAGTAAACATCATGCTCTGTAACACGCTTTTTCAAAACATTTAACATAATCATTTCTTCACTAACATTAACAAAAATTCAGACTTCGCAGTGGAATCATAATTTCAAAGTAATTTATTTTGCTTCATCAAGCATCAAAGTCTTTTGGTTATTATCAAAAGTCACATCTTCAAATAAATCTAATCGTATAAAAAGCTCATAAAAAAGTCTAACAAAATAACATAATATTCGACTCAAGCATTCCCCACCTGATGTTACATGTTAGAGCAAGACACCTCTATTATTAACGGAAATAGAGTAAAACAACTCCAAAGCTAAGTCTCCATACATCTACAAACTAATCTTGATCACCTTCATGTTACTCACGTAGAGGCAACATTCAAACAGGCATGGTGAGTAATTACAACTCATTACAAAAGATATAGTAGTTATATCAATAATTCATATATTCGCCATTCATCACACACATACTCACACTGTCACTTCATTAAGTCATTCACAACGTCATTATATCATCAATCAATCATTATCACCAAAACATCACTTAAGTCACAACATCATCAAACATCATTTAACTCACAGTTATGCAATGTCACTTAGTATGTAATGCAACAATACTGACTCATGCATGTGGTACCAATTCTTTGATGAACACTTGGTCATCTCCCTTCAAAGATCCCC